CCCATTATTCTTTCATGATAAGTTAACACTGTTACCTGATCATGAACTAGGGAATGTACATGAAAAACACAATACCAGAGCTGCTTTGAATAAAAAACAGCATAGGATTTTACATGCTGCAATGGAAGGCTCTGCATATAATTGGTGCTAATGCATACCACCTCATTAGTTTGTACTCTATCTCTGATCATTCTCTTCTTTGCCCAAACGCTTCTGCTTATTGCAACCGAAACTTCTTTTCCTGTTCTAAACATGTCTTTACTTCACAGGTTAAATCTAGATTGTTCAACTTCTGTTGAATAGAATAACTATTTGTAGATAAAATGATGGTAAGGGATTTTGGAACTCAAGAAAACGTGTGCAGATAATCTTTTCCCCCCTACGTCACATACAGTTTTTACTGTTTTTTTGACTGAATAAATCTAAATCTAGAATCACAAGAACATGTGTTCAAAACAGTTTCTAGCAATTTTTCATTTCAAATAAACAATTGCATACTCTATTGAAAATGAAGTATGAGCAATTGACCAAGGAAACAAAATTTTTGGGTCTTTCAATTCAGCCAAACCTTAAATGGAACATCCATTTAAATGAAATAGAACATAAAATTAAGTACATTATGCTACACAATCATAATTCTTTCAAATTCAATCAGCTTCATACCACTCATGAATATTTCATGAATGTTCCTTTCCGCCTGAGATATGGCATAAAATTCTGAAGAAACACCCTGTAGCTCCCACACTTTGAGATTACAAACGAGAATTGTATGAATAATAAGCATGTCCCACCCATGTGATTCTTGTAAGCATTTCTTTATTAAGCTAGGAGTTCTACCATTACCTTGCCTTTTGATTTACGAATTATTAGTTTTTGTCAAAAATGACTTACTCAAGTGCAGGAACATACTTTCAGTGAATAGCAATGTCTATAACTGTAACCCTCAACGTAATCATATTCATCAGATGTCAATATCAATCACTCACTACAAAAAGTTCACAAACAATACATGTATATTATTTTACAACCAATTTCTGGATGACATTAAACCATTAAATAGAAATTCACCTCCAAATTTCTCCATCTTTTCATTGCTACCTTTGCCTTCCGCCCCACCTACTCCCCTACTTCACTATAGCAGTGATTTTCTCCACCACTCGTGTACCACCTGCTCGTTCCCTATTGGTTGTCACCTGGGCCGAT